AGAGACTTCAAATTAAGTAGGCAAATCATGATAGACAATTTGCAAAGGAAAGAAAAGGGCTTTGTGAAGAACTCTATAAGCTTTTGTATGTTTCATTTTTTCTTTCTGATTTTAACTCAAATATAATACACATATATACTCTTAGACAGAGTGAGAAATAGTAAGAGCATTAAGTTCTCAATTACTAAGTCCTTGATTTTAGGCAGAGTTAGTGATTTAACTTTGACAAATCTCTTTCTGATTTTCAGGAAAGATCTTTTCCTTTTGAAAAGTTTGTTTCCTTATCACTTTACACAAACCTGTTCATTTATTGCCTGCATCTGAGCGTAGTGCTTTGACATTTTCTTGTGAGTCTGTGGAAAAGAAACCAAAGGCACCAGCTATCAACTATTCTCTCAATGGAATGAACATATGAAAATCTGACACAAGCTCTATTTGACACCCACAGTTGAGGTGATAAAGCATAAATTCAACTTCTTATATGAATTTAAACACTACTTTAGCCTAGCCAGTCAACAGAAAAATGACAGTAAAATGTTTAAGTTTTTTACAGAAGTAACTACAGTAAAATGGACTTAATATACCTTCATATAAACCTCCAGAGTGGCAGTTTTCTCCTGGAAAGATTGCATTGCTGATCTTTCAGCATTCTTTGCCTGCTCACGAACAGATTTTTTCTCCTCTAAAGCTCTCTTGGATGAAAATTTTAAAGTGTCAGCAGAAAAAAGAAGTAAATATGAAAAAATTGTGCGAGTAATGCAAACAAACAAGCAATGATAGGAGCGAAATAAGTAATAATTTTGTTATGCTCTCTAATCTACATGGTCGCATGCACATGAAATATTGTCTCCTTATATGTTATGAAATAAATTTAGATAGAGTCACACAAGAAACAGTAATCTTTGCTTTCATAAGAAATATTAGTGGTTGTTTAAAGTTGGATACCATCTAAGCCCAATTCTTTTGAGCCGTCTATTTTCCACCTCAGAACAAACATCACAGTTTTTCTATTAAACTTAATTAAAAGTTATGCTTTTTTTCCCATAAATCATTCTAATACCGAAAGAAAAAAAAAGTAAGCTTCAGCTGTTAAAACAAAAAAGCTGTGTAAGTTAATTAAATGATAAACAAGTGTCTAAGTTGCTTATAGGCACTGATGCTGCATTTGGTTCATTTCCCATCTAATTCCTCGTCAATACTTAGTTTTAGTTTTCATATTAGTCTTAATATATATAATTAAATTCTCGTGTTTAGGTTATCACTAAACCCAATTTTTGTTTTTAAATCTTAGAAATTCAACTCCTAACTTCAAAGGAAGGAATTGAATTTTTGCTATAAGGGAATTCAAGGTAGGTATGATGGAAGCTAAACATACAACAAATTATGTTTTAGTTATGCATGTTAAGACTAATATAAAATTTTAGAAATTCAAAAGAAATTAAGACGAAAAGGAACCATATGCAACCTTTAGCATTTTAGACACCTTTCTTTCACTAATCTCAGACACTTGTTAATCAACCATATTTCAATTACTATATTTTAACATTAAGAATCAAATGGATGATTATTACTGCAGTCGGGTCCCACCATTCCTATACCTTTGAGAAAGCAAGATCTGGTGTTTTCTCACCAAAGCATCCAAAGTTTTATATTTACATTAAAAAATATAAAACTACCTTCATTCCTAGTTAACTACTGCCTAAACATGAATAGCTTCCCTACCCTATCATATCTCAACAGTAACATTCATGCTTATGAGGTGAATTTCTTAATGCTAAAATAAAAACAAAGAAGGTACCTGCAATTTATCCGGTGACTGAACAATTTTTGAGCGCAAATTAGCATTTTCTTGGACATTTTGCACCAGCTCAAACTCTGCTTTGGAGATCTTGAGAAGCAAAGGAAAAGATAGTTGTTACTTGTAATTTAAATAAATACTAGGAAACAAATATTAAGTAGAAATGCTAAATAATGAACGTGTACAAGATTACATCATGAACATGTAGAGCTAGCATTTAATGGTAGCCTAAACAGACAAGAAAGCAGCTCAAGTTTAAGCATGTGGGAGAAACATCAAACAAATTGTAAGCCACATATTCAAGATATCCTTTAGGTATCAGGAAGGATTTATGGGAAACAAACAAAAAGTGAAGACAAAATAGTAAGAAAGGATTTATATGGGAAATAAACAACTGTATTATCATTCCAAAGCTTCATCAGGCCACTAATAGGATAACCTCTCCATATAAGACTCTAGCTTTATACTTCTTTCTCTTGTCCCTTCTTTGAGTTTTTCCAGCACAGACAAAATCCTTGCAAACAAGCAATAGAATAGAGCAGCTAACAAATAACAGACTGGACAGACAAGTAGAACAGACAGAAAGTCCACACCACCATGGCATGTGAGTCATTAATTAAGGTGATAAAAAAGATAAAAGGCCACTTCCATTATGTTAGAGTGAATTTCTCTTGTGTATTGATGATAAAATACTGGCTTCTAACCGAACAAATCTCACATCAAATAGCTTTTGCCAACTAAAATTTGCAGACTCTCTCTAACATATAAAAGCTCTTTCAATATCAGTGTCCTGATATCGCTTTGCTAATCAAGCCGACAATATTGTACCACCAAGTACAATTATTTAATTTGAGGATCCAAACATAGGCATAGTAGTTACAGAAAGACATTACCTCCTTATCCATGTCTGCAGTTTTCTCCTTCAACTTTCTTAAAGAAGCTCTCAGAGACATCTGGTGACTGTTGAGGCCTGCAATGTTCTGGTGCAATTCTTTAACTTTTGCATCTAACTCTTGAACAAGTGGCAAATCCTTTTCTTTCATTTCATTATAATTGGCAATCTCAGCATTCAACTACAAGGCAAATATTTGGTGAAAATCAATCCTTATTCTTTTTACAGCACGAACTGTCTATTCTCCAATACCTGAGAAATCTTAGCCTCTAACTCTTTTTGCTGGTCATAATGGAGAGTCAGTTCCTCCACAATTGGTCTTAGAAGATTCATCTTGGAATCTCTGAGATTGAAAACAAATAGAAAATTAGTCTATGACCCTTACAATGAGAACCCTTGCTCTAAGGTCCCCACAAGCAACATTTTCCAAGTTCCAAGTGAAGAAAGAACCATTTCTCTCTTCATGGCAAGCAAATACTCGGAACAGATATTATCACGATGACTCTATCCAAAAAGTAAATCCATAAGCCGTAGAGGAAATTCCTGTTTACGCATATTTTTAAAGTGTCTGCCACCATAAAGTGAGCAGTAGTTTAACTCAGCATTGCAAACACGTTTGTCACTACAAATGAAATAAGCTACAAAACATGCGGTTACCAGAGCAGCATCAATATTCTATATGTTTTCTGCTATTTTAATTCGACTCCATAGCAAAAAATCTGGAAATAATTCTCATTAAGCAATTATCTTCTGCAATACATACTTGTGAAGACAGAAATTCAGGATTGCACTGAAAAAAAATTCAGTCCGAGCTGCATCTGGCCTTATCAAATCCTTAAGAGTAAATTTGATCGGGCAATCCACTGAAGCCACCATCTCCTTAACCTTGCTGTACAAATTCATGATCTGGATTGACCCGACATGAAGATCCGGGTTCTCAAGCTGCTCCAAAGCAGAAAAATCAACTTGCCCTTGATCTTCCCTGCAGAAATTACAAACCCACAAAGCAGAATTAGGAACACCTTTAGTAAACTCAAAACTAATTTCCACTAACGAGGAAAATTTGAAGGCATAACAGAGAATAGAGCCCGATTAAGAAGCAAAGACAAAGTGAAAGATACTCAATGCATACTCGTGGAGAGCGTCGAGGTAGATGAGAAGTCGGGTGTAGAGATCCGAGACAAAATCCGGGCTAGGGTTCTTGAGGTCGTTTTCAGAGATGGTGGCAATCTGCGACTCGGCCAGTATCGTCATTATGTCGGCACGAGACAGCCTCGGGTACTCGTATTTGGACATGGCTTGCTGCTGCAAATTTTTTCCACGACGAAGGAAGCTAAATTTTCGCGAGAGAGTGGTAATCGACGGAAAAAGTTCTGGATAGAGTCAGGTGATTGAAAAGCTTTTCCAGAATCAACAAAGGAGATGAAATGTTTCCCGCCTAAAAAGCTTGCCTAGACCGCCTTTCAACATGTACATTTAAGGTTATATTTTGAATAATTTTAACTTTTTTTTTTTTTTTTTAAAATTAACTTAAAAGTTCATACTTATTTTAAGTAAAATATTATGATAGTTATATTAAACAAACAAAAATTTAATTTATGTAAAATTTTCTGTTTATTCAATTTTTTATCACCATATTTATATATTATTTTAATTAAACTAAGTGTATATTTACAAATAAATTACACAATTTTATTCCAAATATAATCTAAAATTTTATAAGAAAACTAATGTTGATTATGTTTTAAAAATCAGTTATACGAAATAAAATGTAAGTATATTAAAAAAATAAAATATATGAGAAATTTTGAATGCTAATAATGTTATAGTCATAAATATATTCTATATTGGACTAAAGTTATCTATTTTTCTTATTTAAAAGAATAAAATGTTTATCATTTTAATTGTAATCACAACTAATATATATATATATTATTTTTTTATAATTTATGAAATTTATATTTATTATTATTTGTATTTTAGAGAGAATGAAAATTAAAAAAAAATGTTGAGAACAAAAAACAAAAAACAAAAATTCTTAAAATAAATTAAATATTATTTAAAATATAGTAAGATTTGATATAAAAAATTAGGAAATGCATATTTAACGTAAGGTAAATTAATTCGAATATTTTTTAAAAATATAAAAATTAATTTAAAGCAAACTTAAGATATAAATGAAATCAAACAAAATTAAATTTTATAGAGATTAAAATGTCATTTAGCCTGTGTGCGTGTGTGTGTATATATATATATAGGGTCTCAAATCAGTATTACTATGCTTATTCTTATTTATTATTTTTATTATAGTACTAAAATCGTTATTGACAATCTTACAATAATTAATCATTTTATTAACTCCAAGAAAACAAAATGTTATAATTAATCAATCAATCAAGAGAAAATATTTTATTTTCCCCAAAAACCTAAAGGACAAAAAGGGAAAATCATAAAGCTGCACAACAGCTATTTTAATTTTCAAGTCACGAAAAAACATTCCACGAGAAAAACACCCCAACGGCTACTTTGCCTCTTCGTATATTCCTCTTCGCCTCTTTCCTACCCCGATCAACGAGAGAGACGGCCGTTGCAACTCTAACCAGTCAACAGGCTTCAAGGAGACGCAAACACGTTCAGCAACTACCAAAAAGGAAGAGTTCGAAGCAGCAAAAAGTGATATTCGATGAGGTTACAAAAGGAACAAGATGAAGAAGAAGAGGTCCAGGTACTCATCAGCCAATCAAGGGCCAAAACCATCGAGTATTTGGAGCCAGTAATGTCGAAAGAGCTTCTCCAAAAATTTCCCGAAAGTTCTGCTTTCGGATTCGATTACTCACAGAGCTCGATATGGTCTCCTCTGGTCCCTTTCCCTCACGACGCCTACGCCGTGGACATGGATTCTGTCACGCCGAGAAAACTCTACTGCGAATTTGATCAAACACTTGGCGTGCACTTTGAAGATGGTACCGTCAAGAGAAGTCGCGAAAAGAAGCGGACTCCTAATTTGAAGAAGAAATTGGACGACGTTGGGATTAATTTGAAAATTCTTAAAGGGATAAAGAAGAAGAAGACGCCGATGATGGCGAGAAAAGGTTATGGCTTCTCCCCGGTTCCGGCAAAGGCTGTATCTTGTGCGCCTGTTATCGCCAAGAAATGGAACAAGTTGTTGAAAGCTGCATCGAAAAGTTTCAAGAAGACGAGGAAAGATCCGACGGTTCATGTGAAGCTTTCCAGTTATTTGAAAGGTGTCTGAGAAATTTGCCTTACGAATTTCTTTATGTTTTTTCTTCAGCAATTATGAGAGACTAAAAAGAAATTGTTTCATTTTACACGAGTAATAATAATTCATTTTTTTAATTTTAATTTTAGTTTCATCTTCGTCTTCATTACTGTTTACAGAGCTTTGAAAGAAACTTTCTTCTGTCTATCTGAAACTTTTCTTAAGCAAGAATCTCGAGAAAAAAGAGAAATTAATCTCAATTAATTGATCCTACCTAACATAACCCGGATCAATCTCCCAAGCGAATCAAAAGAAGATCCATTCTCCGTCAAAACTTCTCTGCTCTTCACGCTCATTTCTTTAACCTTTCTTCTCATCTCTTCGCTCTCACTGCTCATCACACGCACCACCGCTTTCTCTATCTCATCCGCCATCACAATCTCACCATCGTTCTTCAAACGAAGCTCCACTGGTCGATAATCCTCCTTCCGGTAATCCAATCTCATCTCCATTGCCAACCCAGCTTCCTTCACCATCTCAAAACTATTAATCTGCTGCTCTGCGTACATCGGCCATGTCACCATCGGCACTCCGCACCACACACTCTCCAAGATCGAATTCCACCCACAGTGCGTCAGAAAAGCTCCAGTCGCTCGGTGGGCCAAAACCTCCGCCTGCGGCGCCCATCCCTCGCACACCATTGCTCTATCTCTCGTTCTCTCTAAGAACCCGTCTGGTAACATATCGGCGAGAACGGCGAGTTGGTTGCTCGACTTGGGCCGACGTATGGGCCACAAGAAACGGAGCCCACTTCGCTCGAGCCCGATTGCGATCTGTTTCAGCTGCGATTCATCGAAGATACCAACACTCCCGAAACATAAAAACACCACTGACGATGGAGGTTGAGCCTCAAGCCATTCCATGATCCTGTCTCGTTGGTTTCCTTCTTCGGAAAACCCTGCATGAATATGAGTTTGACCTTCGATGTCAACAATAGGACCGACGGTATAAACCGCCGGTATAGATCCATCAGAGGACAACGACTTCATTGCATGTGGCTCAAGATCTGCAAACGTATTAACGATGATTCCCTTGGTTCGTTTGAACTTTTTTCCCCGATCTACTGAAATGGTGTATCCATATTTTTCAAACAAAAATGACGGTAAAACGGAAACTGGTACTGGGTTGGAGTAACTCGGGACGACTACTGACTCTGACTCGTTCAATTTTTCAAACTCTAGGCCCGTCTGGTCATGCCAAGTCGAAAGACTAAGAATAAGACCAAGAATAGCAGCACTAGAAGTATAGAAAATATAACAAGGAATATCAAGTTCATTCGCTAACTCAATCATGGGACTGCAGAACATATCAACAACGAGTCCAACAAGTCGAGCTGAGTTGGAACCCAGAAATTCTGTAACCAAAGCTTCCTTGACGTAAGGTTTGTGTCTCTCCACGAAAAGATCAAGAAACAAATCCGGGGACTTATTGAGATCGTAGGAAGAAGACTCAACAGAAGGCAGAGTTATATATCGTACTCGTGAATCTAATGCAGCTAGTGATTCGGTACTGTATTTATCAGAGGCAAACCATGGCTTAATAACGAGAACAGTTACAGAGAACCTGTCGTCTCTGTCGAGCAAACGCTTGACGAACCCAATGGTGGAGACGAGGTGGCCGATGAGTCCGGGTGTTGGGAGGAAGACGAGCTCGGCTTTCTTTGTGTTGTCTTGGTCAGCCATGGGTGTTTTCGTTGGTACGAATTGTAGAATTTGACGGGGTATATATGTGTATATATACAAACGGGAGAACTAAGACAGCTGTGGTGGTCAAATGAGACGGCTATGACTGTCGTATCAAGTGTATAATATGTCAAAATGAGAATTTATTGACATGATTTATTTAATATAATATATATTTGTAATGCAGTGAGTAGTTTGAGAGTACTTCATTTTCTTGACTTGCTTGTATCCCTCTTCCTTATAAAAATATTGAGTGAATTCAATTCGGAGTACGTTTTCTCATACATATATATATATTAATTTAAAATTATTTATTAATATAATTGGTATATTACAATAATGATAATGGTTCTTGAATGGCTTCTAGAACCATGAGGCGTCATCAGTATCACATTATTCATTCTTCTTCTGTAAACAGGACGGGCATTCTTGTTTATAACTAATACTCTTCCGTCATTCGACGTTGTTCGCTAGTTAAAACCTTATTAAATTCATAAATTGTCATTTTATAACTATACTATAAGCTAATAAATTTTGGTATGTAATATCTAATCCAGTGTGATTTAAATTTGTCAGTATATTTGTTGAATTACAGTAATTAAGTTCTATCATATTGAAATGTAAATAAAAATATAATGGTTAAAATAGTCATAATAGTATAAAATTCTCAACATATTTTTTTAATTATATATTTTTTTGCTTGTAATATTTTATATTAACTATTTTTCATAAATAAATTTTATTGAAAACAATATTTTTTTTTTGAAGGTTATATTAGTTTAAAAATATTTTTAATATTTCAAAGAAAAAAACACTAATTTTACCAACCAAACATGTGTAAAATACTTTTCAATTGAGAACAAATTATGCATAATTTTTATTGTAAATAAACAATATTTTATCAGCTGATATAAATAAAATATTTTTTATACACCAGTATGTGTGTGTATATATATAGAAACTTGCCCGTGGTCTGAAACCATTTTAAACTCGTCGGGGTAACGCAAATAATATTAAATAAAAACGCCCAACTACTAAATAGCACATCAGTGAGTTTATTTAATTTCGACGTTATAATACAAATTTTATAGCTAACTGGGATTCAAACAGTGTAAACCGTCTATAGGAGTAGAATTTAGAATTTATAGTTGACTGACTTGCTAAGAAAATTTGTCCTTAATGTTTTAACGAGTGCAAAAAAAAAAAAAATATATATATATATATATATATATAGAAATTAAATTACTTGGTTTTCCTTAATTTATTTAAAATGAAATAAAATTAATTAACATAATAAGTAATAATAATTTACAGTATTTATAAACATTTAATAAATTTTTTAATATAAATATTTGGATAACATAAAATATTAATATTAAGCGATTGGAATAAAAAATTAATATTGAATATAATGAATAATTAATTTTACTTAATGTCTCTCTCGAAATAAAAATAAATTTCCGTGCAAGGAGTGAAATGGATACATTTAGGCGCCACTGTGAGCCACACACTCTGTCAAGGCCTGCACTAGCGAGTTTACTTCATTTTTCATGGCCGTAGCTTCTTCAGCTCTATCTCTTCCCCTTCCACCACCTTCAACAACCAATCCTTCTCACCACCACATTCGTTCCTCTTCAACAATTTCTCACCCCAATCCCAAACCTCAAACACCCACAATCCGTTCCCGGCTCAGCCGTATTTGTCAGGAAGGTCAACCCCATCTCGCCCGCCAATTGTTCGAGACAATTCCTCGCCCAACGACAGTCCTCTGGAACGCCATTATCATCGGTTTCATCTGCAATAACATGCCGCATGAGGCGCTTCTCTTCTACGCCCAGATGAAGAAATCGTCTCCTGATACCAAATGCGACGCCTACACCTACTCTTCCACCCTCAAAGCCTGCGCTGAGACTCGGGACTTGAGGTTGGGTAAAGCAGTGCATTGCCATTTTCTTCGGTGTTTATCGAACCCCAGTAAAATTGTGTATAATTCTCTTTTGAACATGTATGCTACCTGTTTGAACTCGCAGGATATTGAAATGGGTTATTCCATGGGTTCTGAGTATTCCAAGAATGATTTAGTACGTAAGGTGTTTAATAGCATGCGTAGTAGAAATGTGATTGCTTGGAATACTATGATTTCGTGGTATGTAAAGACGGAGAGGTATATGGAGGCAATACGGCAGTTCAGGATGATGATGAAAATGGGGATAAGACCGAGTCCTGTTAGTTTTGTAAATGTTTTTCCAGCCTTATCAAGGTTAGCAGACTATAAGAATGCTAATGCTCTTTATGGGTTGCTTCTGAAATTGGGGCCTGAACATGTAAATAACTTGTTTGTCGTGAGTGCAGCCATATTTATGTATTCTGAGCTTGGTTTCCTTGATTTTGCTAGAAAAGTTTTTAACTCCTGCTTGGAGAGAAATACTGAGGTGTGGAATACTATGCTAAGTGGGTATGTTCAGAAGAGCCACCCTGTTGAGGTTATAGAGCTTTTTCTTCAGGCTATAGAATCAGAACAGACTGTTCTTGATGATGTAACTTTTCTCTCTGTTCTAAATGCAATTTCACAGTTGCAGCAGTTGGATTTGGCTCGGCAGTTTCATGCGTACATCGTTAAGAATTTAGAAGTAGTACCTGTAATCATACTAAATGCAATTATTGTCATGTACTCAAGGTGCAATTCAATCCATACATCGTTTAAAGTTTTCGATAAAATGGCCGAAAGAGATGTCGTTTCTTGGAATACTATTAGTTCTGCTTTTGTGCAGAATGGATTAGATGATGAAGGACTGTTGCTGGTATATGAGATGCAGAAGCAAGGTTTTGTGCTTGATTCTGTGACAGTGACTGCTTTACTTTCTGCAGCATCAAATCTTAGGAACATTGAGATTGGAAAGCAGACCCATGCTTTCCTTATTAGGCATTTCATTCATTTTGATGGCATGGATGTTTATCTTATTGACATGTATGCAAAGTCAGGTTTGATTAGGACGTCACAGCGACTGTTTGAAACAAACTGTTCAAATAGTAAAGATCAAGCCACCTGGAATGCAATTCTTGCTGGATGCACTCAGAACGGGCTGATTGATGAAGCCTTTGCTTTGTTTAGACAGATGGTGGAGCAAAAGGTGATTCCAAATGCTGTGACAATGGCATCTGTTCTCCCAGCATGCTGTGCAATAGGTAGTATAGATTTGGGAAAGCAACTGCATGGGTTTTCCATTCGTAATTCACTGGATCAAAATGTGTTCGTGGCAACTGCCCTAGTTGACATGTATTCCAAATCGGGTGCAATTCATTATTCTGAGATGGTGTTCGTTAACACACATGAGAAAAATTCTGTCACATACACCACAATGGTATTGGGTTATGGTCAGCATGGGATGGGGAAGAAAGCTCTGTCTTTATTTTATTCAATGCCAGGATCTGGCATCACGCCTGATTCTATTACATTGGTTGCAATCTTGTCAGCTTGCAATTATTCTGGTCTGGTTGATGAAGGTCTGCAAATATTCAATTCAATGGAGAGTGATTATGAAATTCAGCCCTCAGACGAGCACTACTGTTGTGTTGCAGACATGTTAGGGAGAGCGGGGAGGGTTGCTGAAGCTTATGAGTTTGTTAAAGAATTGGGAGAGAAGGGTAATATCTCAGAAATTTGGGGTTCACTTCTCGGGGCTTGTAGACTTCATGGGCAATTTGAATTAGGAGAAACAATTGCAAAAAGGTTGATTGAAATGGATAGGGGAAACAACATTACAGGTTATCATGTTTTGCTATCAAATATGCACGCAGAGGAAGGAAACTGGAAAACTGTTGATAGACTGAGGAAAGAGATGAGGGAAAAGGGTTTAAGAAAGGAGGTTGGATGTAGTTGGATTGAAATAGCGGGTTGTGTCAACTGTTTCGTGTCTAAGGATGAAGAACATCCTCAATTTGGAAAAATAAATACAGTCCTGGAAGGATTGGCCTTGGAGATGAAATATTCTTTATCTGCATCCTGCTCAAGTTCAGGTCTAGATATTGGGATCGCTAATTTTGATGAATGAAGACAAATATATCTTATAGATTTTTTGGTATTTGGAAAAATTAGCTAATTAATTAGATTTCCGGAACTTTTTTTTTTATTTGCTTAAGGGTCTTAGCCCTCGTGAAATTGGATAAAGAATGTATGGGCTCACCCACTGGAACTCCTAAAGTGGAGAGAAGATCATCAGAGCTAAAGGCTTTCGGCAGATTTGGAGAACTTGGAAACTGCTTGATACACCATATCTTGGCTGATAACTGGCAAATACTTTGTCTCCTACGCAGATGGTATGAATTGGACTTAACAGCCAAAATTTGACATTTCGGGTTGCAGGTTGGCTGGTTTGATGTCTCAAGAGATCAATAATTTGTTTCAAGTGTTACTGTTTTGTTGGTGTCAAGCTTGGGCAATGAGACTACAGTGAAGCAGTCAGACTGGCTAACCCAAAAGTGCTATTTCCTTCAGGTTGGTTCTGCTTGCACTTCTTTTTTAAAATTTTTTGCATCAAGATCTTTTCCTTCTCCTTAAACGAATTTTTTTCTGGTCATGATTAAGGTCAGAGTTTAAGTTCAAATATTAACGTGTCCAAGTAATGCCTAAGTGATGGGACAGAGACATTCTTCTGCACTTTTGCATTAGTAAAGCTATGTTTGGTGCAAGTCTAGAATATTTGTGGAATTTATTTCTTTATATTGATATTTAGTTTAGCTAGAAGTTGTTGAAATTTTTTCCTAAAAATAATAAAAATTGATCTTGTAAGAAATATTATCTAGAATTAGAGAAATAAATTGCAAATTCATCAGAATTAATAGTATTTGCAATGTATTGCATCAATTTCATATGAAATTTCACATGAGATCAGTTTTTATCATCTTCTAGTAAAATTTATGATCATTACTGATTGAGTTAGGAGTAAATTCGCAAGTAAACTACACAAAAGTCCTTGATTTATTCAAGCATAGCTTAATTAATTGGGTTTGAATTGCTTTTTTAAGGTTAAATGATAGACATGTCGGATTAAATCTTATCAACTTAACTTATACATGTGTCTTTTGTTGGTTGGATTGCAAGATGGATTTAATTTTGGTAACTATTATCATTGTCATCGGGATTCTTTTTTCACTGTGGACAAGGACTATAAATCAAATCTAGAAGTTTCCATTTTCTTTTTGGATTGATCCTAGGAGTTTTATGGAGGGATATAGATACTCGAATAATAAGTTTAGTAACTTTTCTTTTTTCTTTTTCTTATCTTGAATTAATATCCAGAAGTCGCATTTTTGAGTTGTACCTTGTTCTCTTAATTAGCAATGAAAGGAGAACTTAGACAATTTCAATCTGACAAATCCCCCCTAGCTACAGGAACCATTTAGATTCGTGTTCTTGATTTATGCGCTAATTGCTGGCTGTCCTCCCACTCTTTTTTTTGGGGGGGGAGTTTAAGGAGAAACCAGAGATGGTTGATTCTGACAAGAAGCACAAGGTTGAATTTTTGACAATAATCTCCACATAACCTTGTATATATGGATAATATTTAGGGAACCCACTTAGATCCTACGAGTTATTAAGTTTTAAATATGGATTTATTTAGCTATCGAAGTCCCCAAATTTATCTCGTTAACCTTCCAAACTTGGGGATTGGCATCAAATATTTCTTACTTCTCTTGCTTAGGCTTGTTTTCAACCTAAAAGAGAAACATGTTATTACTTTTAATTTCTTCTAATTTTTATGATAATTGGGAAAATTTCCGTCACAAATAACAAGAGCTTGCCTGAGTTTTATCAATTGGGTTCCTGATGTGCAGCCTCGTTAAAAGAAATCTCGAAGTATACACGTGCTGGAGTACTTATGGTGCCTACTTGCCATGAATTTGGACTCTTATTCTCTGGGGATTTTACTGTGGCAACAAGTGATATGTAGTTAAATGTATCCAACGCCAATATATGGGAGGAAGAGAGTGAGAAATCGTATGGTTCTATTCCACCCAATCAAGGTCTAAAGGAGGTACTACTTTACAAGAGTTCCATTCTACGACTCAAACTTATAGGTTAAACACAAATGTTTTAACTGATATATTATAGTTAAAAATTGTTATTCTTTAAATATGAAAAATATTACGAGCTAAAAATCTGTTACTTATAATCGGTAGTCAATCTTTCTGTTGTTATTGTCTTTGAGAAAAGGTAGAATATATGGATCTCAAAATTGTTTACATTGAGTTTGCTGAAACAACAAACGCTTGCTTAAACAATGCAGGCAAAGAAGAAGAACCAATTAAAGAACAATGTTGTTGCTCTCTGTTTCAAGAAAGTTGAGAGAAGCTTGTTGTAGATTCTTCAAGTCTCCGCAAGTAGAATATATGGATCTCTCTTACTGGCTCATCGCACAGGAACACTTCAGACGAGGGTGGTCAACTGATTTTATAATCTTCAAGTCAATGTTGTCCATCTTCAAGTTGATAACAGATCCTACTCGTAGATGGGAGGGTTGTTTTTAGAATCCTCCAGTAAGGGTATAATATGGCTCCATAAACATGTTCACCATATTTCAAAGTAAAATTTTCATATATTCCAAATTCATTTTTAATAAGGATGGTTAATGGGCGGATGGCTCCTGACAATTAATTCTTGACAGTGGATATTAATTATAACAAGATAAAAAATAACATTCAAATAGAGATAAACTGAGAGTAAAATCCTATTCAAACCCACAATTTCTTGAAAGTTTTTATATTTTAATGTCAACTCAGAATTGGTATTTACTTTCCTTCGGTAAAAGTACATCATTCATCTGGACTTGCTATCCTACAATATCTGCATTAAAACGTGACAGGGCTAACTGTGAAGATCCGCCGTCCATCAAAGCCTCCTTGTTCTTTTCACTCACTCCTTCCTCACCTCGTTATCCTGCTCCATCAATGGCCTTATTCCTCTCTCTAACTCTCCTGCTTTCACAAGCATGTTATGAGGAAAACCAAACTGCCTCCTATAATCCATTTTAATCTCCACCGTTAACCCCAACTCCACCACCATCTCGAATGCGTTCATTTGCTGCTCTGCGTACAGCGGCCACGTGGCAGTTGGTACCCCGAACCATAGATTCTCCAACATTGAATTCCACCCGCAATGCGATCCGAATCCTCACACGGTTGGGTGGCTCAGGACCTCAACCTGTGGCGCCCATCCTATGATCTTCCCCTTCTCAACCGTTCGATCAAGGAATCCTTCTGGCAAGACCTCCTCCATATTTGCGTAATCAGTTGGGTTTATTTGGCCGTTTGATGGGGCTTTCCGTAGGGACTACAAGAAACGATGCCCGCTTTGTTCTAGCCCGTAGGCAATCTCTCTCACCTGCTCGTCAGAAAAAGTTTCCCAGGCTCCCAAAGCACAGGAACACCACCGACAGGGATGGTTGACCGTCGAGCCATTTCATGATCCATAAGTCGTCTGTATCCACATTCAGGTTGATAATAGATCCCACTGGGTCGATGGAAGGGTTGTCGTTGCAGTTCTCTAAGGAGCGTATAACATGTGATTCCAGCTTTGTAAACGTGTTCACTATGATCCCCTTGGCGTTCTTTATCCCTATCGCGCGTTCGAGCACAACTCCGGCACAATCTTTGTCGAGAATGACGGAAGGCAAGACATTGCCAGGAACTGGATTGACCAAACAGGGCAAGACCAACTCAAC